AAGAAGAAGAAGAAGAAGAAGAAGAAGAAGAAGAAGAAGAAGAAGAAGAAGAAGAAGAAGAAGAAGAAGAAGAAGAAGAAGAAGAAGAAGAATTTCTTTTTTACCATTTTGGAGCCCATGGAGCCCTGATGAGAGCAGATCTTCTGGATGGGAAATCCATCTGGAGGGCTCTGGGGTGAAGTCATTTTTGCTGGCTATTAATGAGGTCTCTGGAACCAAATGGAGCACATGTTCTTCTCTGTGTGCATACACGCACGTGTGTATGTACATATATGTAGAAACCAGAGGAAATCCTCCAGGACAGTTCCTCAGGAGCCATCGCCTTGTTGAGGACCTCTCACTGGCCTGAAGCTTCCTAAAGTGGGCAAGGCTGGCTGGCAGGGTGCCCCAGGGGTCCACCTGTCTCCACCTCTCCAGTTCTGGATTATGAACATGTGCCACTGTGCACCACTTACTTTTCAGACGGATGCTGGGGGTCAAATGTGGGTCCTCCGGCTTCCAAGGCAAACACTTTACCCCACCCCACGTGCTCTTCTTAAAACTGGAAGTGTTCGTGTGTGCTTGCGTTCACAGTGCAAAAAACAGCAAGGTGATTCGTGTCCGCAGATGGAACAAAGCCAGTCGATCTGAAGAGCAGATGAGCCATACCCATGGGAACAGGGCCATGGCTTCCACCACATTCCGAAATACCCTTCCTGCTAAGGCCCCTGGACACGGGCTCCTCTGAACTCCACTCCTCCAGGACGTAGACCAGTTAAAAGTAGATAAATAAAAGGGAGAATCTGAAAACCGGGAGAATACTGAACAAATCCCCCAAAGGGTGACCTCTCCGCATCCTTGAAGTGTGTCTGACTTAGGTAGTTCTAACTCCCTGCTTGTATTTGGTTCTGGTCCTTATCTCTGGTTTATGGGAGGTGGACAGAAGTAGCCTGTATCCCTCCCCGGCTGCTGCAATGACTGTGGTGACATCTGAAAAACTGGACCTTTGTCTGTGTGCCACAGTCAGATAGTTAGCATGCCCCTCTGTTCATTCTTGCCACACCGCTGAGAGTCCTCTTGATTATTGAAACTAAACCAACTTCCTCAAAATCCATGGACACCACCGCCCGTCATCAATTGGTGATATTACTTTTTCTTAGTTTTCGTTTCTATTGTTCTAGTATGCTCTGGTATGTAAGAGCTGGGAGATGGAGAGGGGTTGCCATAGAATGCTGTTTTCCGTGTTTCCGTGGCTGGGGTACACATGAATTCCCAGTAGCTGTGGCTATGCACGGAAGACCTGCACAAGAGTCGGCCAGTTGATGAAATTAATATCGAGGTAAATGTCATGTACAGGTAAACTAAAGACTGACTGAAATCAGTATCAATGAGTCGATATGCTGCTTCCATCGAAACCTGGCATGCTGCTGAAACATAGTGCAGGAGAAAGACAAAGGTGTGGGGGGGATGCACAGTGCACACACCACAGGTGCACACTCCTGCCATTTGTGTTTGCCGTATACTCCAGTTCTGAGTTGTCTGAAGCTGAGAGTCATTTCCTTCGGATAGACTCTGTTGGCCTTTATGGGAGGGCATGCCGAATGTCAAAGGGCCAAAAGAGTTTCTGGAACGTTCTACCGTGGCTTATCTGCCCACCCTCACTGACTCAGTAGGGAGTTACTGGCAGAAGCTCTTCGGCACTCCTTTCTAGAACTGCTACGCTGTTCAGAGACTTGCCAATGATTTCCTTCCCACAAACAGAATGATCAATCAAGAGCCGTTTTCTGCAGAGAAAAGAAGAGATCTCACATCCTACCGAGGACAGATTCTGATGGAGCCTCCGACAGTCTGTGGATAATGACTGTAAGAGCTCACCACAAGTCCCAGCTGTCACCGTGGGGGTGTGGTGTCAAAGACATGAGCAGATCAACCCAAAGACGTCAGTCAGTCGGAGCAGTGAGATGGATCGCCTTTCTGTATTTAGATGTTCTGACCCCCAGGAAATGACCACGGCCCTCCCGCCTCTGTTCTCCCTTCAGAAACATCCAAGGGAACAGAGTCAAACAGAAAACTAACCCTTCTCGGCATGCACAGCCCCGGCCCCCATCACCACCAAGCCCCTGAGTTCACTGCCCAGAGCCCACAGTGGAAGGAGAGAACTCACTCGTGAAAGTTGTTTTCTGACCTCTATGCACATGCACACTCGTACACACACACTCACAATCATGCACATACATACAAGGCCACAATAAAAATAAATGTTAAAATAATTTAAAGTTGTATCTCCATGTTTCGTCTCACGTGGTAGCACCCGTTCATTACTGGTGAATAACGAGGTCTCACGCCTCTGGCTGTTACTATTTGCTAAAGAAGGCTCATCGCACTTTTTGCCTGTTTTTATTCTGGAATTCTTCCTCTTCTTGTGCCTTGGTCAAACTCCGGAGAGTACTATATATGTAGGTTTTCACATGGTTGTCAAATGCCCTTTTGACATACTTTTTCTACGTTACATGCCAAGTGTGTCTCTTTCCTCTTACAGGTTCTAGATTTTTAGTCTTAAGAAAAGTCTCCCCAAATCCTAGACTATATTTGCAGTTTATCAAATTCTTTCTATGACTTTATTCTTCTTTTATATTAATGTTTTAGCCCATCAGGAACTTTATTCTAGACTATGTTATGAGTTAAAAATCAACTTGATTTCCCCCAGGTGCGTCTTTAAGCAAATCAGGATCCTCCTAGCATGTAGAATCCCTTATAGCTCTGTTTCTCCTTATAATCCTTAGACCACACTGGTTTAATTACAGTGGCTTTGGAGTGTGTTCTGAAGTCTAGAATTAAGACACTGACCCTGGATTAATTGTATTTTTCAGCAACCTGAGATACAATGATTCTCTCAAATGAATTTTAAGATCACATTACTCAATTCAAAACCATCAAAATAGCCAATCTGGTACTGTTAGGTTTTTATCTGAAATTTTGTTAAATTAATATGAGCTTGGGGGAATTGATTGTGTGGGGCAGACCTGCTTTCTCTTAAAGGACATTGTTTCACCCTTCATTTATTCAGCTTTTTTTAATTATATGGGCTTTATTCTATTGGACTTTTGTATTAGAGTTTTCTAGAGAAACAGAACTTATAGAATGGATATATATGTATTATATATAATGAATATATAATCTATGTATATATATCCCTTATTATATGTGTGTAAAACATGGATATATATACAGATATATATCCATCCATATATATGGGATTTATTAGAATGACTTACAGGCTGTAGTCCAGCTTGTCTAACAGAGGCTGGCTATATATCCATCCATATATATGAGATTTATTAGAATGACTTACAGGCTTTAGTCCAGCTTATCCAACAGGGGTTGGCTATGAACAGAAAGTCCAAGAATCCAGTAGTTGTTCAGTCCACCAGGCTGGGTGTCTCAGCAACTCTCCACGATACAGTGGAATCCCAAAGCAGTAGGCTCTAACACCAGTGAGGCAATGGGCTTGCTCGAGAGGTGAGGGCCGGCAGACAAAGAGCAGAAGCTTCCTTCTTCCGTGTCCTTACACTGGCTTCCAGCAGAAGGCGTGACGAGATTAAAGGTGGGTTTTCCCAGTTCAAAAGATCTGGATTAAAGCTGTGTCTTCTCACCTTAAGGATCCACATTAGTTCATCATAACTCAGGAGGCAGGCAGATCTCTGTGAGTTCAAGGTCTACAAATTCAGTTCCACGACAGCCAGGGCTGTTACACAGAGAAACCTTGTCTTGAAAAAATAAAATAAAATAAAATAAAAGATCTAGATTAGAAGTAGATCTTCCCACTTCAAATTAAACAGAAATCCCTCACAATGTGCCCTCCATTTGGGGGTTTTTAGTTAATTGCAGATGTAGTCGAGTTGACAACCAAGAATAACCATCACACCTTTCCCACAGATTGCAATAGTATTTACAGCTACAGCTTAAGAACATTTTCAGCCTTGCCTAAGTATTGCTGAAATGGATATAAGTTATTGGTATGCAAGCACTTCAGCAAATTCTGTAATAGTTCTAGCATTTTTTCTTTTTCTTTTAACCAAAAATGTCTTTGAGAAAATCATATGGTAAGCAAAAAAAAAAAAAAAAAAGACACAGTTTTATGGTTGTTGTTGCTTAGTTTGATGCAACTTCTGCTTTGAGCCAGTCAGCAATGGTGCCCAAGCAAGAGCCGAGTGGCTGTTCATTGGGGAGATGCTGGCAGATGCCTGCATCCTCATCCCCTCCTTGGATGAGTCTCCTCTGCAAAACCAGAAAGAAGTAACTGGGAAGTTCTGAACCCGGAGCCAGCCATGTTCTACCAAGTAGCGCAGAACCGATTTAGACAGCGTAGCCCAGCTCCCAGATTCCTAGCCGGCTAAACAACCGATCTCATTTCATTAACTTACAAAAAATACTAGTCCACATCTTGTGTGGTTAATCCCAGGGCCTTGTTTTTCTGCCTTCCAACCGCTTTTGCTACTTCTTTCTTGGTCTACGTTACTTTGTATCTCTATGGTTGTTGTTTACTTTGTCTGTTTTCCTTGCTCCATTCCCTCAAATCTTCCAGAAAACTACAGAATAATAACCGTAAGAGGGGCCGACCTACGTACTTGTTGCTTGATTTTAATTAAAATATCTTTTGTCTTTTATTACTTAGAATAAAAATTCGCTCTTGGTTTCTGGTTCTTGATCCTCGTCATTTTGAAATAGCTTGGATATAAGCAACAGAGACTTGGTTGAAATTTAAACAGATGTTTAGAGGCAGACAATTACTACTTTACACAGACATCAGGAAGTGTGAGTTACACTGCAACCCTTATCTTCAAGGAAGCCGTTACTTTACCTATCTAGACTCAATAGTGGACTTAGACCGGGCAGGGGAGATATCAATAGCTTAGAGTTCCCTAACCATGCTCTCTACCAGGTATTCTCAGTCAGTCGCACTCATTTCCCTTGAGAAGGGTGGTGATTCTGTCAGACACTCGTCACGATGTGATGTGATCACTTTCTGTTTATTGATGGAATAAAGTGTGGCAATGCTGTCCTTGTGTTTTAAAAATATTTACATTTTAATTGTGTATATGTATGTATGTGTCTGAATATTAAGTATGTGCACACAAGTGCAGGGGGTCATCACCTAAACACTCAGGAAGTGGGGGCCGGAGGATCCAAAGTTCAAGGTCATCTTTGGCTACACAGCTAAGGTGAGGCCAGCCTAAGACCCTGTTTCAATAATAATAATAATAATAACTATTATTAGTATTGTTATAAAATAAAACTAGTATTATTAGATAGAATTCAACAGTAAACTTATCTTGTTTTTTTCCTCTTACAATTTCTTCCCCAGTAATTAACTGGTCTATTCAAGCTTCCAATGGCTTCAGTAAATTTAGTAACTCAAATCTTGATTTCTTTTGAGTCAGGTGTTATACATTCCAGTTAGTAATCTAGGACATGTTCTCATAGACTCCCTCTCTCCCTCCCCTTCCCTCCCCTCCCTCCTGAACATTAATCAGCCTTGCCTGCTAAAAATTTGTCTTTATTTTATTGATCTTTTCAAAGACACAATTCTGTGCCCCTTTCACGCCTCTGAAGGTGTTCTGTTTCATTAATCTCCGTTTTCTCTCTTATTCTAGATTGTTTATTATGGCCTTTTCAATTTCCTTACCCTAATGAAAAAAAAATATTTTTCTCTATCTTCCTTAATAGTAAAGGTACAGAAGGGCTGGTTCAGCAGATAAAGGCCCTTCCCGCCAAGCCTGTGGGGATCGAAGTCAATCCCTGGACCCACTGGATGGAAGGGGGGAACCAGCTCCCAGGGGTGACCTCTGCACATATGCAAGGTACAATGTTCTCTCTCTCTCTCTCTCTCTCTCTCTCTCTCTCTCTCTCTCTCTCTCTCTTTTTCACACACACACACACACACACACACATACACACACACACATCTTTGAGATAAACTGACATTTTTATTTTGATCGCTTTACTTTAAAAGTTAGCAAGCCCAGCCAGCACTTGGGATGTGGAGGCAGAAGAAGGATCAGAATTTCAAAGCCATCCTCTGCTACATAGCAAGCCTGGGCTACATGAGACCCTGTCTGGAAAAGGCTTGTTTTTCAAGTGACGAAATCTGGGGAGAGAAAGCAACAGTGAGGGTATTATTATGGGCTGGGGAGATGGCTCACCGGGTAAAGCACTTGCCGCACAGATGTAAAAACCTGAGTTCAAATCCCAGAACCCGCTGAATCAGCGATGGACACAGAGGATGCTCCCTCCACCCCCAGACTCTCAGGTGGGGTGGGGGCCCCATTCAAGAAGGAGCTGCCTGGCCAACTGGGGCCTGAATCGGCGATGGTCGCAGTGCAGCCGAGCAGGGGCATGGGATTCTAACCCTGGCCTCAAGCAGAACTCCAGCCAAGCCCTGACCCCACGTCATGTGGCCTAGGTGGAGGGAAAGTAGCAAACTGGAGCAACCAAGAGCCTGCAGCAACCAGGAGCCCTCCGTGGGTGCTGGGCGGTGGGCCACTCTAAGGATCTCCTTGTGATGAGGACACATGACCCAGCTCGGTGTCACAGCGACGTGAGTGAGTCAGGGAGACATAGAATAGGCCTAGGGCTGCCCACCCCGGGCTCCAAAGAGAAAACATGAGCACACCCAGTACCTTGCAGCACCAGCCAGAAGGCCGCTATTAGAGAGAGCAGGGGTATGGTGTCTTATGGGGGAGAGAGGAGAGAAAGAGGGAGGAGAGAGAGAATGGAGAGAGGATGGTTCAGGACCTGTGGACTGAGGCAAATCTGAAGAGATGAGAAAGGAGGGGGCGGGGTGAGATGGTGAGGGAACTGACCCCTAGACTAGCGGCAACGCACCGGAAACCGAGCCCTGCACGTTCTCTGGGCCGCACAGCAGAGATGAACCAACCCTGAGGACCTGAGTGATGAGAACTAGCCCCACCCCTCATCTGCCGCGTAGTGACATGGGATGGGGAGAGATGCCCCGCCACCCCCCAACCCCTCACCCTTCCATCAACACCCAGGGCGGGCAGGAGAGCTGGCCCTGTGGTCCTAAGGGTGGGAGAGCCATCCCATCAGCTGCAACGTTCTAGAGAGCAGGCCCTGCACCTCACCAGGGCAACACAATTGAGCCAACACTGTTAGCGCGTGTGGGTGAGCCAGCTCCGAAACCGAGCTGCGCCATTTCCCATCAGGCAGACCAACCCTACAGCTGCCTAGGCCCAGACCCAGGGTTATGACTTGGTCCTGCCCCAACATCCACCTCATCTATGATCTGCTGCAGCATGTGGAGGGACCTGACCAGCAGACCCAAAGCTGCAGGATCTCCACAACACAGGCCTCCAGCGGTAGGCCCAGGAAGGGTCCTAGTGGGGGCCGAGCATTGGAACAGGTTGTGGAGACCAGGGTCCTTGGACCAGACCAATGACTCTTTGCGATGAACACTTGCAAGTAGAGATATATAGACAAAGGGGTTCACAGTGTGACTTACAGCTTCCATGACGAGATTTTGAATTCCTCCCCCCCCTTTTTTTCTCATTTTATTTCTTCATCTTTTCCTCTTTAATTTTGTTTTACTCAGGGTGGAGAGTGCAGGGGGCAGAGGGACAGGGAATGAATGGGATCAAGATACATGATGTGACAAACACATAGAATAAATAAATTTTATTAAAGATAAATCCCAGAACCCAGGCATGTTAGCGCATGTCTATAATCCCAATGCTTCTGTGGCGAGTTGGGAGACAAAGACAGACGACTCTCTGGATGGTCGTGGAAGAGCTAGCCTGGCACACACAGTTACAACAGCCAGCAGCGCAAAGACCCTGCCTGGCTCAACGGTGAAAGGACAAAAGCTGACGCCTGACCTCTGACTTCCATATGTCCACCACGGCACACATACATGCACACGTGCGTGCCCTTACACACACATTGTACACACTAAAGTAAAATGAAAATGTTAATACTATTGTGATAGGGCAATGTCTTTCTGTATGCTGTGAATATGTGTTGCTCTAATTGGTTGATAAATAAAACGCTGATTGGCCAGTAGCCAAGCAGGATAAGAAATAAGGAGAATTCTGGGAAGAGGAAGGCTGAGTGAGGATTCACCAGCCTGCCGTCCAGGGAGCAGCATGTAATGGCACACAGGTAAAGCCACGGGACATGTGGCGACATATAGATCAACAGAAATGGGCTGATTTTATGTGTGAGAGCTAGTCAGTCGTAAGCCTGAGCTAATGGCTGAACAGTTTTAATTAAAATAAGCCTCTGTGTGTTTACTTAAGGGACACGAGTGGGAAAGATTTGTCCCGATCACAGGCCAGGCATGACTCGAAAAACTTCAGCTATATTATTGAACTGTGATCTGAGTAGGGGATCTCTAAAATCTCTATTTTCTTCAAATTCTAAGGGTTCTCTTATAGCCAAAAGCATAGTTCATTCTTTTGATTCACACACACACACACACACACACACACACACACACACACACACACACACACAAAGCATGCTTACTTTTGAAGGATGGGTCAGACAAATGCTATGTTGACGGTACTGTGCATATCTCTGCGTCCTCAGTCATGATCATCTTTGTCTGCTGATGTTTAAAGGGACCTAAAAACCATCCCTATGCTGACGCCCTTCCATGCACTTCTCTCTCCTGGGCTGTGTTCTGCGGCTGCTGTGACTTCCACAATGGTGGCAGGTGTCACGTTTAACACTTCCACTTGATACCTCTTAGATTCCTCTTTACTTAACGCCACCCCTCCATCTGTCTTTCCCTCCTCTTTGTCTTTTCCTCTGCTGTCAACTGTCACCTCCTTTGGTGTGGTTTTACAATGTCTGGGTCCTCCATGCCAGGGCATCCATGAGGCTATTACCTCCCCCACCTCATCCCCAGGGTTTGGGTGGGGCGCTCAGCACTTTATTTCTCAGAAGCTTATTAGAATTTTCTTGGGAATCTCTCTTCAACTTCAATATTGGCCCCTCAATAGTTACGTCACACATTACTAATCTCCAGTCACTTCTAACAGCATGTTGGCTAGGGCAACACCAACTGCTATGACAGATACACCTTGAAATCTAAGGCGGCTGAGACCATGTAAGCCAATTTCCTGTACACAGTCAGTGTGAGGCAGGAGGCTCTGCTCTCCTCGGCCGCTTAGGAACTGTACCGAGAATGGCCCTCCCTCGTCAGCCCCTGGCTTCCAAGGTCTCTCCAGGCTTCACGTATAACTGGAGGACAGAGAAAGAAGGCGGGCACTCCCAGCTTGATATGGCTTATTTCTTATATCTGTCACGTGACCCCACCACACTGCAACGAAAATGAAGACATTCAAGAGGCAGATTTGGTGAACTATCCTGTTCTTACACTGGCCATTTAGTCACGTGATACTCAACGTCTCTTCAAGAAATGCAGCCTCTCACACCCAACTCAAAGCCGAGGTACAGTCCAACGCTGTTCTTCCACCTGGGTCCTTCTCAGCATCTAAGCCCATGAGGGAGAGAAGAGAAAGGTGTACATGCATCTCATGTCTTAAGAGGAGCCTCAAGCCATGCCCCAGGGGCAGGTACTTCAAGGTCATAGGTAGGTAGGACAGTTACCTGCTACATTTCTAGAGGTGGTGCTTCAAGGTCATAGAAAGAACAGGTATCCACTACACATTCACCTTCTTTTTTGATATGGGATTTCTCTCTGAGACATGGAACTCGCTGTCCAGTGAGCACAGGGGATCCCATCTCTGCTCCCTCAGTGCTGGGGTTACAAGCACGAACTGCCACACCTAGCTTTTTATATTGGTTCTGAAGATGGAGCCCAGGCTCTCATACTTATGTGGCAAACATTTTTCTGACTGAACCAGTAAAATATTTATTGCTTAGGCTGACTCAATCAAGAAATTTTTTTAAATGACATCAAAGCTGGAGAGTTAGTAGCTTGGATGAAGTTCCTGAATATAACAAAGTAATATTCTTCCAAGGCACACTCCTAATGGGAAAGAGGATAACACTGTGTGGAAAACATGACATTTTAGCTCTGAGGGGATGAACAATTTAGGTTATCTGGTCTCTAGATGAAGAAGCCAGAGAAGTGTGTTAGCTAATTTATTTCATTCAATTCTCCTTTTTATTAATGCACAAAACCAAAATAAAAATTTATGTCTGAGATAGCTTGGGAAAAAAAATCCTTCCTATAATGATTAGATAAAGCCTCAGGTTATCAGAACATTACATTATGATTTCATTGGAACTTTTTTTTTCTTTCTGAAATGGTAAATAAAATGATGGTGCATGTTGAAATAGAATCTAAGAACCCAAGGAAATATGGTATGTATGTCAGGTGGGTGGAAACCTGTTTGCAAGTATATACTGAGTGAGATATACATATGTAATCTATGCCCAGAGGAAGAATTTGAAGAAAATGAAAAAAATCAGAATAGCAAGAGGGAAGAAAAGATGTCCAGTGGAGAGGCTCCAGGGCTAGCTGAGGAGACTCTGAAACAGAGAACTGACCCCTCAGAGGTATGTCCACGCAAGGCTCATTTCTCACTTTCCTAAAATCCCATCACCGGGTAGTGGGAGGGCGCACTGCTCCACCTAGGGCATGGTTTCTGAGACTGTGTCTTCATGCTGAGACTGTGTCCTCGGTTCCTGGCCTGGTATTCAGACAGAAGACAGAAGTCACCCCTTTCAGAAAGGCCAAGGCGGAGAATGGGGCTGGGGAGACAGCTCAGTGGTTAAAGAGCTTCCTTAGCAGCGTGAAGACTTCAGTTCTGACCTCCAGAACCCACGCAGATGCCAGGTGGGCGTCGAGGCCTCGTGAATCAGGTGGAAGCATGATGGAGGATGGTTCCTGACATCCACCTTGAGTCTCCACATGCAGATGGGCCCACATGCATGCAAACCCTCCCCCCCCATACACACACACACACACACACACACACGCGCCAGCATCCATATACACGACATGCATGCACACGCATACACACAGCATATACATAGACACAAAAAAAATAGAAAAATAAACAAGCAAAGAGTAGAACGTAGAAAAATGATCGAACAACACAAGCCCTCCCTCTCATTCCCCCCACTGGAACACAGCATTTGGAATTGCTGTTCCAAAGCACTCTACCTATGAGAGTCTTTGGGAACAAGAGCACCAGGAGGTTAAACCTAAGGTGGTTTAGATATAAACCCTCTTTATCTGACCTGACTAAGACATTCTTATGAACCATAAAAAGACAATGCCAGCTTCTCAAGGGATCTACGCAGAATGGGCAAGACCAGCATGTAGACAGTGGCATCGGGACCTCTCAGTTCAATTCCATAATGCCCTCAACATTCGAGATTCCTCACGAGGGAAGACTAAGTGAGATCAGAGCAGAAAAGCATCCCGTTCGGAACCCTAGCAGATGAAGCCGCCGGTGATATGCACTGCTATCCTGCCTCTCATCCCAGCCAGGCTGTACTAGAGACTGTGATGTGCTCTGGTGGCCTTCCCAGCCTGACACGCTGCAGAATGCCAGTGTCATTCTTGGCCATGCTTCTACCAGTGCATTCTCCAGGGCATTGCTCTCAAATGTCCCCAAATTCCTGTCCAGTGTGGCTGCTGGTCACTTCTGCCCATGAAATTCAAGTGACAAAATGTATCTAAAGGACAGTGCCGTACAGCTACTGTTTTGTCTTCATCATTTCTTCTTACAGCCACCCCTTCTTGCCCATTTCTAGTGGGTAAAGAGAGAGACTAAAGACACCAGGGGGTGAGAGGGGAAACAGGCAGCGAGTGGTGGACAATGGAGTGGGGGGAAGCAGAGAACATACCCTCCACCTCTATGCAGGGGAGAGCAGAAGCATCCTGCAGCATTCCCTGGAAAACAACGTGAATACCCCAGAAAGGGGATGTTGATTGATAAGCTTTAGTTCACACTGGCCCTGCAAACCTCAGCAGCAAACCTCAGACTCCACATGTCTACCACCTTGTTGGTTGGACTCCTGTGTCCTGGCGTGCACTCCGTCACTCTGGAACACTTACAACAACAATTTTCACATTTCTGCGACAAATGGATGTGACTGGAGGGCCGTTGCCTCTGAGACTTGCGAGCAACAGTTCTCCGTAATGAGACGGCCCCCTATCGCAGCAGACTTGGCCCAGAGCCAAGTCACACAGAGTCCTCAGTGGTGGCTTGCTGCTCTCCCACAGGCTGAAGTGGCCATCTTGTCAACAAGATGTGGGGGCTTCAAAATGAAGTCTTCATTTTCCCAAGAGGTCAGTGTTCTCAGGGTTTATGTCTAGCATTAAGAGCCTCATGTGAAAAACAGTTACCTTGGCTCCCGGGGCTTCGACCCTTTGGAAAAAAAAAAAAAAAACCTCAGGCCAAAGCCTCAGGCTACCCATGCTACCACAGAAAGTACCCCAACAGATTGGTAAGCCTGGAAGAACATTGTTCCCGGCTGTTATTCCACCTCGAGTCTCCCTTTGTCTAGTCAGCGTGGCTGGCAACAGCTGAGCTGCTGAGAGACATTATAAGCTTCGAATAGAGAAGTTAAACCAGTTTTCCCCCAAAATCAATAATCAGGAGTCTCGAACTGAAACAAAGCACAAGCCTTTGCTTTGTCTTTGGGAAGATAAGCTTCCCAAGTGCCATTCAAGCAAGCTATGGCTTTAATGGAACAGTAAAAGTGTTGCATGAAGTACTCAGAAAAGCTCCAATAACTCCTGGGTGAACTCTGAAAGAAATCTGTTGAGTCCTTGCGGGCAGGGACACACTTAGGGGGTCATTTCACCAAGCATTCACATGCATGACCCCACCACATGAACCCTTAATTAATTATGGTTGTCTTAATGTGAAAAATACTTTCATAACAGAAGGGTGACCTATTCTCATACATAAGCCAACCACAAATCATTCATAACTCCCTAAACACCACCAAGGAGGTGCTCAATTTGTATCTGCGACGAACTTCAAGCGTTGCATAATTTATACCTAGAATCCACTCTCATACATCTACTAAAATACCCACTCTGACCTTCGCTCCCAATCCCAACTGCATTAAAACGGGACCATAAATCACTGAGGCCACAAGCCCCTCATCACAGACCCACTCTCCCAAAGCCAGGCAACTTTCTTCCTTTGATGAGTTCATCATCCCCTTGAACAGGTTATGAAAGCTGCTTGCATCTCGAGATAATAACTCAAAGGCTCTTAAATAGAGGCCCATTGTCTGCAGAGGAGAGCTCAGTGAGCCGGTCGACAAATGGCACATCTCAGGTCCCACAGAATCTTCCATTTATCCCTACCCTGAGATCACCACCCTCGCCCCCCGCTGGCACTCTGCAGCAGAACTGCCCTCCTGTTTACAGAGCTCAGCTCTCATCCCCTTTGAAATCTCAAGTCCAAGGGCAGCCTGAGATCACTGCAAGCTCACACTGATTTTGCATTAGGGCAAAAGCTTTGCCTTGCACTCTAAGACAACATTATGTTTGCTCTGTTTTGTCATGGGTATGTAAAATTACTCAGGGCTGGATATGATAGAGCTCAGTGATAGAGTGCTCACCTAACATGAACAAGGTCCTAAGTTCAATCTCCAGCACTGAAAGAGCCTAAGGATTCTCAAACTGGGTTGTACTGCTGAGGCCAACAATAAGAAGCTCGTCACTCCAATTCCCTGTGTGTGGAATACCAGAAGCCCTGCCATGAACAGGTACCACAAAAAGAAGTTTCTTCCAACTGCTTCCAGGGAGAGTTTTGAAAAAACGATCCAAGAGGAATTATGAGAAAGACTTTCCATCAGCTGTCACCTAGCATTGGGGCAGCTCGGGATTGTCCTCAGCAAATCTGATGTCCATCCAGGGAGGTGAGGGAAGAATCTGAGAAATTGATCAAGCTTGCTGCAGAACAGGGAGCCCACCACCATCACCACCACGAGTCAGTGTCCAGAGAAAATGTTCTTAGTGTGACATTTGATCTATCCTATTCAAGGGATACTATCAATGACCCCCAAGGTGAGGAGTTTGGTTGAGGTCCTGTCCCCACAGGGCCTAAGGGCCATTATGATTGGTTCCTTGAAAATGCAGGTATAACTTGTTAGTGTCTCAACTACAAGCCAAGTTGCTCTACCAAAAATAGTCAGCCAAAATACAAACTAGACCTCAGCCACCACACGCAGAAGAATTGGATGTGTTGTGCCACCAAAGAGGCAGAGATAGCCCACAGCTGTCGGTCTCTGTCCCCCTCCCCTTCCCCTACAGCACATCTCCCTGGTTTCTTTTTCTATTCTTCGGGGATTCGTTTTTCCTTTGCATCTTCAGATATGGTCAAGGACTCTGTACGGTAGAGGCAAGTTGGCAAGACACTGACTTGATTACTCTTCTGTTCTTATAGTCCTGGGTCAGGACAACATCCCTGGCCTCTTGCCTACAGGACAATTCTTTCTGGTTAACTTGGGTCCAGACCCCAAGATGTATAAGGGTGCCCTCCAAGGTCAAAGAAGTTCTTATATTCTTTGATTGAAGAACCACCAAAGGAGTAGGAAAAGCAGTCATTGAAAATAGAAAATGGGAAGAAAGCATCTCAAAATGTTTCCTCACCTTCAGAACATTTCATCCTCTAGAAGTCCTGAGACTTGATCATCAAAGCCAACTGCCCTTGGAAGGAGAGTGGAGAAATACAGAGGAGAATAAGAATCAAGAAACAATGAGGCCCGAGGCTGTAGCTAAGTCAATAAGGCTTGCCTTACAAGAGTGAGGACCAGAGCAAGATCTTCAGAATCCACATGGAAGGTGCTGGAGGGGTAGACATGCTTGGCAATCCCGACGCTTGGGAGGCAGAGGTGGATCCCTGGGCTTTGCTGACCAGCTAGTCTAGCCTATATGGTGATCCCTAGGCCAGTGAGGGTCCTTGTCCCCAAATATGGACAGTCCTCCTGAGAAATAACACCAAGGTATGTCCTCTGGATGCCACATGAATATGCACACAAATACATGTGTACACACATATGCACAAGTAAATAAATTCATAGATAATGAAACAGATTGGGCACAAGGCACAGAGGCCAGTGAAAAGGAAGTGCTACCAAGGGTTAAAGCCACGTCCCGCACCTCTTCCTTAAATAAAGATGAAACTGGGACCTGCTGCATGAGAAGAAAAAACACACCTAGCAATTGCTGAGTGCTCCTTCAAAACCATTGTCTCTGAAAGATGTTAAAACAGATTCCACAGGAGTCCATTTGCAGTCACCTGGAGCAAGAAGTGGTAAAGAAAGGCATCAGCAGGGCTTTATGAAAAGCCTTATCGGTCCACGCTCATCTGGCAGCGTGGTTAAGTGGCAGGCAGTTGCAAGAAAGTAATAGATGCTATCACTAGACCCTCCATTAGGCTCTGGGTTCTCTTATTGCCAGCCGCAACCTAAGGAACTGGCCTTGGAATGAGAGGCTTGGGGGCGATGGCTGGAGAGGACAAAGTCTGCTTTGGGAAAGGGGAGGACAGGGGACAGACAACAGGAAGGGAACTGAGGAAGTTCCAAGGCTGTCCTGACTGGGGGTCAGCAAACAGTGACCTGGCTTAGGTGCCTGGGAATCTGAGGCAAAGCCTTCTGGAGTCACTGAATGGAGCTGGGGTTGGAGCAGAGTTAGGAAAGTGCCTACCTAGAATCATCCGATCCGAGCTCTATATAAACCACACATGGTGGTGCCTACCTAGAACCATCCAATCTGAGCTCTGTATAAATAATGCATGGTGGTACCTACCTAAAAACATCCAATCCCAGCTCTGTATAAACAGTGCATGGTGGTGCCTACCTAGAACCATCCAATCCCAGCTCTGTATAAACCACACATGGTGGTGCCCACCTGTAAACCTGGCACTTGGGCAGTGGCAGCATGAAGTTCGAGGCCATCCCAGGCTACATAAAGAGTTCAAGGGAAGTCTATTCTATGTGAGACCCTGTCAGAAACAAACAGAAAAGAGAGACAAAAATAACCGTGAATCCCAGAAATAACTCGCTTTGGCATCCTGCGTTTGTCTGCCTTTATGTACCGTTATTCACAGCTCCCTCTCTTTGGGTTTGAAAATAGTTCTGACTGAAGCCAATGCTGAGAAGAAAACAAAATCAATCTGCATATTTAACCCTTCTAAAACTGAGGGCTGCCCCCTAGCACCTCTGGGATCCATCTTAACTATAAATGCTCTTCTGAACTTGAAGTCCAGTTAATGCCTTTTAAATTTTTCATTCTAAGTCCCTAAATCCGAATAAGGTTATTAATCTGTGTACCAAAGGGACTGTATTCTCACCCTAGTGATGCATGTTAACTACTGCTAAAGCAATGGTTTCCCCAGTTTTCTGGAGACGATGCCAATGTGTGCCTGCTGTCTGCACATATTTGTCCTTATCTTCCCTCTGTCTGGCCCAAGGGCCCCAGTCTAGATGACAAATAGCACTTACCCTATCTGCAGACCACACACAGAGCCTCCTTCCTCTCAAATTTCCCCTCTCCTAATCACCTGCTGCCTTTTCTAGACCATCACACTACAGGTCATTAATAATTTATGCTTTATATCACACTTACTTCCAAAAGAGATTTAAATGGTTTAGTGTGCAGATACTTGACAAATATTTACCGGAAACCTAAAAGTTTTCAGGAGCCAGCCAAGATGGTCAGTGGTTGTAATCCCAGCACTCAAGAGGCTGAGGCAGGAGAATCTTAAGTTCAAGTAGCCTGGGCTATACAGGAAGACCCTGTCTCAAATAAGTAAACAGTTAACATGAATGCAACCTGAGAATATGCATATGCACAAAGTTCTCCAAACAAAAGTCTATAAGGCGGGCCTGTGAGATGGCTCAGTGGGTAAAGGCACTTACCACCAGGTCTGACAACTTGAGTTCAATCCCAGGGACCCACATGGTGGAAGGAGAGAAAATTTAGTTCCAAGAGTTGTCCTGTGACTTCCACAAGTGCACTATGGTATGTGAACGCGCATGGGAATATGTATACACACACACACACACACACACACACACACACACACACACACACACAAATAAATAAAAGCCTAAAGGCAGTGAAAAATCATCAAGGCAGAATTACTGAATTAGAGACTCTTAGTAAGACGGTGATTATAATGATAATGTCACCTCACTGTGGCCTCCTCAGGTACCTGCACACATGGAATATGCACAAACTCACAAAGGCACACACAGGCACATAAAGTTAAAAATAATCATTCTTTTAAAAAGAGCCATGAAAGCCTCCAGTGGCAGATGAATCCAAGCTGAATCGCCAGATGGTGAGCTAGTGTTCAGCAATAATTCAGACTTGAGCCTCAGACAGCGACTTATCTGAACAGGTATGAGTTAATCCCCTCCTCCACACAGAAAGAAGAGTCTCTGCCCACGCCCACCAGTTTAGAGACCACAAGGAGTATGCCATTGTCAGAAATGTAGCAGAACTATCAAAAGAACCTATCAGCAACAAAATGTGGAAACATCACTCCTCAGCTATGTGTCCTAGGACTGTAAAAATACAACCTTTTGGAGTAACTTAAAACCAGGAACTTTGTCTTGCTTAATCGATTCCCAACACCCCCTGATACAATAAAAGTATGTAGTAGATTTTTTTTTTAATCTCCACAAAGGAATGACCCCATCAATATAATACGCTCAAGCCCAAAACTATGGGTACCATCTTGTGGAAGACTTTGCCAGAGCTAGGTCCCAGATTCCAGACACCAGACTGTCAGTGAACCCTGAAATGGACCCTGTAGCGAGAGCTAAGGGCACTGTTTGACAGACTTGGGGACTTTTCTTGAAGCTCTGTGTGCGCACCAAGCATTAGATTCGTGTAAGAGCAATAGAGTTACAGGGGCCTATCATCGATCTCCCGGGCCAGCCATTGACACTGCCCTTGAGTGTAACTGACAAGTGTAGATGCCCAGGGCAGCTCAATCAGTTCTCCACTCTCCTTCCCAGCAAAACCAAGGGGTGGGAGGGGGAACCTAAGACCTCTTAGTACATAGATAGCATGCTGTCTCCTGACTTTGGCTCTGGTCCCCCAACCTCAAGATCCTGGTTTGAATTTTCCCCCTTCTGATCTCCTCCCATCTTTTCCATATCTTGGTGTAAAGGACTAGAAACGGTCACTTGGCCACTTTCTGTTCGCTGATTTCCATGTGGGCCTGTGTCTCTGTTTCCCCTAGCAGGTTCTCCTTTTCGTTGTGCCCGGCTCTTCCCAAGAGTCTGGCCCAAGCCACCAAGAGACATTAGGAGCCAGGAACACGGCAATCAGCACACAGTCCTCATGATTCTGTACTTCCCAGATACCTGCAGTTTGTACAGTTTGGTAGACTCTTTCAGAAAAGAAACACCGAATGGCAATTACAAAGTTAAGGGCAAACGCGGTAGTTTATTTAGAACAGGAAACCACAGCAAATTATCACACATCACGTACCCCGCTCTCTTTCTTAGGAAACTTCTGTGCAAATAGTAGAAATGCCCGCCCCTTCCTGAGCAGTCTCACCTCCCTGCTCATCCCAGCTCACCCAACAATGCCAGCTGGTCCATTCATGGAGTCACAGTCTGTGAATGTCACTGTTGGTGTCCTCTGCCCCTTGACTCCAGATCAGGCCCACGCACGTGGGCTTGGTTCCCTTGAGGCAATTCTTTGCCCAAGGAACAGCAGCGCACAAAGGAGCAGAGGTGATACCTAAGTGCTTAGAGATGTTGATCCTGGGGACCAGCTGCACGCAGGATGTCCTGCCATCTTTTCGCCTTAACAGCCACACTCCCTCCCACCTCCCTCCGAGGGTTGGCAGGTGTAGAATGCCTGCCACCGCAGAGAAGTTGTGGAGATGCGTGTTCCGTCCCCATGGTAACGGGGAGCGATCCAAACGAGATCAGAAGAGTTCAGCTAGCTCGCTGCTGTGGGCAGGATTCAGGCTTGGGTAAGAGCTCTGGGCCTGGGCTCCCCCAGCCTGTGGGTCTTGGAAAAGCGGAAGCTAGTGGGAGAGAGTCTAGAGTGACGCCTAGTCCGAGGACAGCAACGAAGAAACGTTAAGTACCCAGACATCTTTGCTCTCCTTTGTCTGGCCGTGCGCTGCCTTGACCAACCTTCTGTTCCCTGCCTTGACCCCCACCCCCATCCTCCCCTTTGTGAAGGGCGGTGCTCTGCGGGTGCTGTACCACTGAAGGAGCAGTGGACCGGCCCACTCTGAGAATCCAGCCCCAGCGGGGAAGATCCTCAATCTGAAACACCGGTCCTGACCAGACCTACCCTGTAACCCAAGGCAGGTCCTTCCACCATCCCCACCCTCACCCCTCACCTCTGTCCAGTGGGAGGGAAACAGTTCCCCTACCCAGACTAGGGGAGGGAGGAGAGGGAACTGTGCCCACGGTTGGCTTTGGACGAGTGTTCTGTACCCACCGCAGGCTCAAAGTCACCCTCCTTCAAAGACCAAATTCCAATACGTTCGAAATCCTGTTTATTAAGAGAGAGAGAAAAAGCCGGGCGGTGGTGGCGCACGCCTCTAATCCCAGCACTCGGGAGGCAGAGCCAGGCGGATCTCTGTGAGTTCGAGGCCAGCCTGGGCTACCAAGTGAGTCCCAGGAAAGGC